TTATCATAATTCCTCAAATTCAAATACAAATCCAAAAGAATAGACTATGGCCTCAAATGGCAGCCTTGCACGTCTTCTTATTGTGATTCCCATATTTTAAGTACCTCCCACACTTGATTTGCTTCACATTCTCACCCCTAGACGGTATCCTCTTCTTCTTGTTCCGCCCGGGCTGCTTCTTCGTTATAAGAGGTTTGATAATCAAACTACCGACACCATCAAAGTCAAATCTCTCACTTGAAGGCACTAGATAAACAGATTCCTTGTATGACTTTCTAAAACAATCTACATGAAAAAAAGGATCAATGAAATCATACACATCTTTACCACTACTACGCAAAGCATACACAGCATAACAACAAGGAAAATCATTCAATTGCCATTCATGGCAAGAACAAGTCTGTCTACTAATATCAACATAAAAAGAAATAAAAGAATGAACCTCAAGCGCAATATCACTAGCAACAATCACATCCCAAGAGTTAGCTAGCTTCAAAGAGTCCACCAACTTCTTTTCCATAACTGGATACAATTTCGTAGTCCATCTTTTAGATTTAGCTCTTCTATTAGACAATTGAGTCATGATTTGAACCCTAATCATATTAACCATACAAGTAATAGGCAACTCACGGGCCCCACCAATCCAATTATTGTAAGACTCGGCAGCATTAGATGACATCTCACCATATCGTTTCCCTCTAAAAAATGCATTGGCCCACTTATCATTTTGCAAACCATCCAACATACTATCAACTCTACCATTCCCAGCAATACGCCTCAATTTCTCCATATAATGTTGGAAAGAAGCAACCGTTGGCGCATATCAAATTTCTCTTTAAATGATTCAAGCAATATGCATGATGTGCATTGGGAAAAACCACTGAAAGAGCATCTAGCAATCCATGTTGACGGTCAAACACAAAGTCCATCTCTGGCCTGAACCAACAGCCTTTAACAACTGACTTAAGAACCACATTCAATTATCTTGATTTTGAGCGTCAACAATCGCAAAAGCCAAAGGAAACAAGCCTGCAAACAAAATAACATGAAACTACAAAAAATTAGCAGACTCACAATACAATAACACACTAACAAACCAAAACTATACTAACTGTAAATAAATACATACCTTGATTACCATCATTTGATGTTGCTGCAAGCAAATGCCCCTTGTAACACCCCTTCAAGAATGTACCATCAACAAACAATAACGGATACAAACATCCATGAAATGCCACAAACAACCTCCGAAAACACCCACTACTTTCATCCACATCTAATTCAAACACATTTCCTGGATTTGTTCTCATATCCGCTTCAAGGTACCATCGAAGTTAGTCAAAAGAAGTTACAAAATCACCAAACAACCCATCTCTTGCCTTATCAACTCCTAACCATACAACCCGATAAGAAACATCTATACCATATTGCTTCTTCAACTTTTTGTAAACTTCAATAGGACTAGTCAACGGATTATCACTAATATCATTATGCACAATATCAGACACAAGTCTAAAACCAACCATTTTGCTACAAGATCTATGAGCAACAACTCCACAAGTATGCACATTATCCAACTTCATACTAAAAAAAATACCAGAATTCATCAACACCCTTCCATGCACAAACCATTTACAACCCGTAGACGACTTCATCATACATTTAGCAGTTACTCTTGTTACATCGTTCTTCAAATAATTCATTGCAAAACCACACTCAACTGCATACTTAGCCAATGCAATGCGGAACGCCGGCACTCTACCTTCAAATTCTTGACCAACACTATGTATAATCCCCTTCCAACTAGCAGACAACAAAACTCTCTCTAGTTCTGGATAAAAACTAGGCAATAAACCACCAAAATCATCACAATCGTTAACCAAAAAACTCTCACAAATTACAGAATCAATCCTAGAAGAATTATCATCAACCTCCACAATTCTCTTATCACCCACAACAACATCAACAACATGAGAACACTATAACCTACCATTGACAACACATTTCCCAAATTATCATCATATTCAACAATACAATTAGAATATCTAGGAATAGAGAAAAATAAACAAAAGTTACTAACACTCAACTCCTTGAACTTCGCAGATATTTTCTCAACAACTTCATGATAATTACATTCCTCACTAATCTTAATAGCAGCACAAGAATTATTTTATTTGCACATTAACATGAAACACCTCTCCATACTACAAAATCACAAACCAACAAACAATTGTTCACAGATTTCAAACTGCAAAATTATACAGTTACAACATATCAGTACCAACACTGCACAATTCACAATTCTAAACTGTAAAATTATACAGTTACAACATATCAGTATCAAAACATCAGAATTCACAATTCCAAACTACAACTTCAAAACACATTACATTATACAACAAACAAAATCAACAAAATCAAAATCATTACACTATATCACATACAAAAGTCACAAAATAAGTATCAAACAAACAAAATTTATCACAAAATAAAGAACTATAGCAACATTGTCAAACACAAACCAGATATCACGTAAATTTGCTTATCTATATATACATAAATATATGTATCGACAGATATAGACATAGTGAGACACAGACACGTGCGCGCGCACACACACACACACAGAACGTACGCAGAGATCGCCTATACACAGAGATTCAGGTCGCACAACCAGATCCACCTCACAACACAATGAGATTGACCACACAGCACAAACAGATTGCCATAACGAAGAGAAATCGAGATCACAAAGGCAAATATTTGATTTTTCACGTATATATAGATCTCAAAACAAAGGCTAATACCGTCATTTAAAAAATAAGAAAATAAAAAACGGGACGCCCGGGAACAAATCTTAAAAAACAGTGGACCTATTAGTCTATTAACAATATGTTGGGATTAGAAGAGAAATAGATCCCCCATATAGGACTACATAATAATTTTGCCAATTTGTTAAAATTATAGGCCCACCTGTTTTTATTTTTGTTTCGGACTGAAGCCCATCTCAACTGGATGGGCCGCACTAGGATGGGACCAGCCCAGGGGTTTCAGGCCATATTTACATGCTTCCCTTGGACTCCTAATTATTAGTACCTTATATGCGTACATATGGATAAAACTCTTGGAAATGAAATGAAATAAATTGCAAAGTGAGTGCGTCACTCTCTTTACCCAATGGTATAGTTGTGCTTTTTATGTTCAACATTGGGCATGTTTGGTACAGTTTATATAAATTAGTTATAATTTTTTTTTTTTTTTGAGAATTTAGGTCAAATTATTTTATACAATTTTTATTTACAATTTATTAGGTATAAATAGTTTAAATTTAAAAAAAATATTTATTTGAAGTGAGAGAAATTGTCCTTTTGACTTCTACTTTTTAATTATCATTTTTTAACTTGGAATAAATTGTATCAAACAAGCCTGTTGACAAGTGATTATATTGCTCTTTCAACAAGTTCAGGATTTACATAAAAAAGGTATTTTAGCAAAAATCATTACCAAAGCATGGTTGGTTGACCGACAAGGTTTAAGATTGATCAGTCATGCATTCATAATGTTTTCACAAAATATTTTTTTTTAATATATTATTTTTTGTATCATGTGTGAATTTCAACTATTCAGTCAGTATACATATAAATTTTTCTTTTCTATTTTTTAAATATAAGAATTTTTATGGTCCCATATAGACACCAAATATGAGATATTCAGCTAAAATGAAAAGAACTTTAGCAAATGGAAAAGGATCGCACTAGTTCTCTTTACAGCTTTGATTTTTAGCTAATTTTCCCTCAAATTCTAAGAAAATTGGTTGCTGCTGGACTCTGGCCAAAATTTGGCAATTCGCTTCCTTTTGGACACACTCAATCCCGGGTCACGAGCATGGCCGAGCAGTGCATTTCTACGGGCTGAGTGGAGACAGGTTAATCAAACTCAAAAATGAAACTCAAACTCAACTCAAACTTTAATAATGAAAAAAACGTTTGGCTCATTAAATTTTTAATTTATATTACAATATGCATATATAAAATATTTTGTGTAATTTAAATAAATATAAAACATTTTATGACCCAAATTTTACTCTGACCCCATTTGAAAATCTACAATGATAGAGACCATTAATTTTGGAACTCTAAAAAGACCACTAATGACATGGCACTCAATAAAAAAAGAAAAAAAATACAACACCAAGGTCAAAACATCAAATCATTCCTGGTGAAGCCCACTACCACATCATTAGTGATAGCTACTCTCACTCATTTTCCTTTGAAAATAATCATGCAAATTGATCATTTTAATTAATATTTTACTTTTTTAAGAAAAAAATATATAAAAAAATTTTAAAAAATGATGTGACAAGTAACTTTCTAGCTAAACATCACAATCCCCAAACGGTGCTTCTAATTCAATCTCAACTCATTTATTAAACCAACTTACAAATTTAACTTAAAAAACATTAAGTTAGGCTTCTCTCAAACGTTTAGATTTGGTAAACTTATTTTGAAACTGATTAGTTGGTAAGCTTATTTTGAAACTGATTTCAATGACTCGTTCACTTTTTTAGATTCGTTAATTAAAAATTAATGCAAAAAATTAAAATAATTAAATATTACTAACTATATATTTGAATCATATTTGTGTCTAAAAACAAAATAGACAACAAATATAATTTTAAAAATAACCATCAATTTTTTGTAATACAAATTTGATTCAAATATATAACTATCGATGTTCAATCATCTTAATTTTTTGTATAAATATTTTATTTAACAACTGCTAAAATATAAATATAAATGATTCAAAACATCGAAACAAAATATTTGATAAAACTCTATAAGCCTCTCCTTCTATGTGAGCATGAAATAACCCAACCCAAAACGTTGATATATATATAACAAAATAAATGTCATATAAACACTCCACTATGGACAATAGTCTTTGGGTTGGATCGGCAATATAACAGATAATTTCAATCAAACATTGTTGAAGCCTGAAAATTAAGCCAGATCAAATCTTTAAAAAAATAAAAATATAAAATATCTGCATACAAGGGAAAATTTGAAAGCTCCAAGGAATTCAAGAATGCAAAAGAAAACGAGCATAAGAAGTAATTTAGAAGCATAAACATGAATTCAAACCCATTACTCATCTCAGAATTTTCCTACCAACAGATTTAACTGCAAAAAGAATTCCCAAAACTGGGAAACAAAAAAAAACCCAAAAACATGATGAAAGCAACGCCAACACGACCCGAACCAAACACCTATTAATCTTCTTAAAGACCTAAGCATATCACTAAACTTAAACACTAGACCTAAACGTCCATTTAATCCCTACCCTCCCTTTCTCATTGCTCTCATTTCATTCATTTTGTCTACTAATAACTAAAATATGGTCATCTATTACTTCCTCTATCCCCCCACCCATAACATCTCTGTACAAAGAACAAACAAATGAACAAAGAAATTCAAAAAAACAGTAAAAGAGAGACAACATGAGAGTGACAAAGGAGAGCAAGGCAGCAATGAGATCGATATTCCAACTAGTAACATCGTTCCTCAAACGTAATCCAGTGACGGGTTGGTGTTTGGAACGAGTTCTGCCTGAGCGGTGGTCATTACATCGGAAGTTTTATCGCAGCCATTGTTTCTCATCTCAAGGACCTTCTTGTGAGAGTTGGAATGCAATGACGGAACGAAGGTTGGGCTTGCTGCGGGCCGATACTCAGGGAAGAGTCGGCCCGACTTATAACGGACACCGCAGGCATTGCATAGGGTTTTTGGGCCCATTGGGCCTGCCCTCCACTGTGGCGTCTTGGTTATCTCACAATGCATGCATTTCCTAACATGCGATGGTGGGTTTTGATTCATCTCCACGGGACCCAAAGGAAGCGACAATTTTATTTTCTTTTTCTTGTGTTCTGCCCCGGATGCCTTTGGTATCTTTTTTATAGGATGGGACTCCGCAAAATTCTCCAATTCTGAGGCAGCTACCGGAACGGGGAATGATTGGGGGTTCTCGGTGATGGAAGAGGTTGGGGAGATGAGTTGAATTGCTGGACGGGGATTGAAGGTTGCAGGGCGAGGGCGCTTGCTACGAGCGCGTTGAGGACCACGTTGAGTCGGGCTTAGTGACATAGACTTACCGCCTGAGCAGGAACTGCTGCTGCTGCTACTCTCAAGAACTGAAACGGGACTTGAAGTTTGGAACTGATTGTGAGATGCCGTCTCCTTCTTGATGAAAGCGTTTTCTTTGTCAAGGGTCATGCCTCCACCAGAGAAGGAATCCTCCACAAAGTTCGAAAGCCATTCGAGCTGCACAATGTCCTCGTACTGAAAATTTTATAAAAAAATCAGAAAAGAACTAGGAATATATATTCCACATTCGTCATTAACAACAACAAAAGCAAAATAAACATTAAGACAATTGAATATTTTTAAACTTAATAGACAGAATTGCAAACGAGTGATCATAGGATTTACAAGTTCAACAAGAAACAATGGATATCGTTTCTAACAAACAACAAATAATCAATTGTATATAATAAGAAATTTTCAAAAATATAGTCAGATTACTGGGAAGATCAACAATTTAACACAATAACGCTACTGACACAATTTTGTATATTAATGATTTGCAGAGTTATTCACTATGGTGACAGTATGTCTGCAAAGATTTAAAGTCCCCCAACTGTCACTGAAGTAACACTGCCTTGACATCGAGTTCAATAATCAGCAATGACACCGTTTTAGCACCTTCACAATTTCATTCAGCTGGAACTGAAACCACAGGGCTAGTACTAAGAATACTTACTGTTCAGTGATTTCAGTCCTAAATTGAGCAATAAATGTTACACATCGTTTGAAAAAGAAAAATAAGAATACTATCTGGCACTTGGGTTTATTCAGTGCGGAGATGAAATGTCTTGCAAGCACAAGACAACTCGAGGCAACCCAGCTGTGCGCCAAATAATATACAAATTGATTGAACCCATAACACATAAACTCGGTGTGCTTCTTTTTTAAATTTATTTGAATTTGGAGCAAACACCCCCACTCTGAAATGTTTGAATTTTGAACCAAAAGGCAATGAAAACTTATAATGATATACAAATTGAACGAACCCATAACGCGTAATAATTAATACACTACTTAATTTTAGTCATTCGCTTGAATTTGCAGAAAATTCCCCCGCACTCAAAGATTTGAATTTTGAAATAAAATATATTCAAACCTCATATGAGGGTCAATTTCCTCTGCCATTTTTGCATCCATGCCCTCATAAATGAGAAATCAATTGTCACCCATGGATACAAATACTATGTAAAAATGATTAATTCAACGGATGCTTAGCTGGCAGCGGTTAAACAAATACTAAGTATGATGTCATAATCAATTGAATATACATAGCAACACAAGGGCTAATCTCAGCAACCAAATCAGTCTGCTGACAAACAATATCAGACAAATATGCACAAAAAAAAAAAATCAATGAAAATTCAGGAAAATAATAAGTATTGAATGCTCACCGGAACGGAGAGTTCGGCGGCGAGGACAGAAGCGGCGTTGCTGCTGTTGTTGCCTGAGAAAATTTGGCCGGAACCCGGCAAGGCATCGGCAGGGTTCGACCAAATGCTCGGGAAATCAGCGCAGCCACCGGAGCCGAGGCCGCATTCGTTGTCGGTGGGGAATTCAATTATGTCATCAATTTGATCAAAGAAGCTACCACAGTCTATCTCATCTATGTAATCAGACCCCATCATTTTCTTTTCTTTTATTTTCTTAGCTTTAACTTTCCTGAGAAACAGACAGAAAATGCCAAAGGAAAGTGAGATATGAGAGTGGGAGAAATGTCCTATGTAGCGTGCTGCTAGCTGTGCTACGGGGCCACCTTGTCCTCTGCTGGTGACAATGTGTCAATGATTCACATAAGCCGTGTGGTGCATGTTAGCAAAGTGTTTTTTAAAAATGTTTTTGTATTCTTTCATATGAGAATCTCTACACTGGGTCCAAATTTACAAACTTTTTTTTAAAAAAAATCCAGATTTAACAGAGAAAATGTCGGTGCTCTTTCTGGGAATTTTCTATAGGAAGAAAAAAATGGTTATACCCAGTTTGGTTGCCTAGAAAACAGATGGGGAAAAAGGAAAAGGAAAAGAATTTGTGAAACAAACCTTGATGTTTTGTGCAAAGACAACAGAAAACTCGAATGCAGATAGAGCTTCAGAGATAGAACAACCCTTTAGAACTCAAAGTTAACAATAGTCTAATAACCTGCAAACAAGAAAGAAAAAAGAAATTAGAGGGAAAATAAAAGCACAGAAGGAAGACCACAAATGGAATTCTTTAAGTGACTGGTTGGGTACTAAGAAAATGTAGGAAAAACAAAGAAAAATCACAACTTTGTACCAAAAAAATTGTTTAAAACCAACCAAAAATAAAATGTTCCACTCAAAACGAGGCTAATACAAGTATTTGGAACAAAAGTACAAAATTTTCCGGTGATTTCAAGTTGTGGGCTTTCCTCTGTTTTCTCAGTAACCAAGCAGACACTAAAAATTTTCTTAGTCCGGATAGAAAATGCAGGTTAGGCCGAGAAAACTCTTATTCTTGGGTCAAAAAAAAACCCATTAGAAAACTAAAATTGGGAGTCCAAGAACAAAAACCAAAAAAAAAAAAAAAATTAGGAGAAAATGGAAATGAGGTAGGTATCCACCAAAAATGCAGAGCCAAACCTGAGAGAGCTTAAACCCTAAAAGATTCCCGCCTGAAATTCCTAGTAACCGATGCAGAGAGAGAAACTTGAAAATTCTATCTTGGCGATAACTTCGAGACACAAATCAGTACAAAATGGACCAAACCCACCAAAAGACAAAACCCTAAGAGTCCCACTCTGTTCTTAAACCCTACACTAGACCACCATTACAGACTAGTGAAATATGAAACCCAGAACAGAGAGAGAGAGAGAGAGAGAGAGAGAGGTGGAGATTGAAAGGAGAGAAGGGAGAGAGAGAAACCATTAAAAGGGAGGGAGGGAGGGAGATGAAAGAGTGACGGTAGGTGAGGCTATTCCTTCATTGCTAGCTGTCTTGATGTTTAAGTCTTCTTCAATTCCTTCCACCCACAACCCACAATCTCTCTTTCGACTCCCCTGTTTCTCTCTCCTCTGATTACTCTGTTTCTCCCCACATTGGTCCCACACCTTTCACCCCTTGCACTCTTTTATTTACGCTTTCAACGCATACATACACCTATACAATAATCAATACCTACGGATACGAATATTAGGCTAAGTCTGTCAATTCTAAAATAATTCACCTTTTTATTTTTTTATTTTTTTTTATCATATCACCTCTTTATTTTTTTGTATATTTTTTCATAAAAAAGCAAAAAAATATACTTATTTAGATTATTCTAAATAAAATATTAATATTATACGACCATGTCGATATAATAAAATTTTAAAAATAAAATAAAATATGGATATACTTTTGTACGTTTATAAAAAAAATATTTATTTTCAATTTAGAGTAATATAAAAATTAATTAAATAATTTATTGTGTTAAGGTCCAACCTATTTAATGTCAAAAGTAAAAATATAAATCAAAATTAAATATCAATATATTAAATAACTTACAAATCATAGTTTAATTTTAAAATCATACTAAACATAAAATAAAAAAAACAAAAAAAAAATCTCGTGAAAGAAGTTTTATCTCTGTAATAGAAGAAAATATTGTTTCAACTAAAATACGGTACAACTTGAGTATATATTAAGTACATCTGAGTACGCCAAAAATTAAAAAGAAAAATTTTAGGTAAATATTTTGTGTACTCAGTATATATATAAAAGTACCGTATGAGATACCATATGTCGATAAGTAGCCAATATGGATACGGCATGTTTTTCAAAATACTCATGCTTCATCGATTAATGCATATGTATTTATAAAGCCTCCTTTGAAACTTTGACTATTTTAGTTTTTTAGTTGTTTCACTGCGAGAGTGTTATCCGTGCTAGGTAAGATTGTAAACGAGCTGAACCGAATCGAATTATTAAAATGTTCAAGTTTATTTATTAAAAATTAGTTAAGCTCAGGCCTAGCTCTACTTGAGCTTCAAAAATCAAGTTCGAGCCCGGCTCGTTAAATTTTTGTTGAACTTGAACTTGAACTCAGTTCGAGCTCCATTGATTATATAAACGAGCCGAGTTCATGCTCAAGAAAAAAAATTAAATTTAAATTAAATTACTTATTAAGATTAAAAAAATACAAAATTATAAGTAAAATATATAATAATACTTATATTAATAATAAATTTTATCAATCAAATATGTAAATTTACACAAACACCAAACATAAATAAAAAATAAAATAGATTATTAAAATTTTATTTAACATATTATTAAAAATAAATATTCATTTATTTATTTTTATATTCACGAGCCTTATCAAGCCGAGTTTAGGACTACTCGAGCTTGGCTTGAATAATATACATAAGCCAAAAAATCGAGCTCGAGCTCATTAATTTAGTAAACGAGTCGAGCTCAAATGATCTTTAAACAAACCGAACTCGAGCTATTCATGAACAACTCAGTTTGTTTGCAGCCCTAGTGTTAGGTACAGGATTAAATAATAATTAATAAATTTATTTTTAAATTAATTAAAAAATAAATAATATTAAGTAAATTTTAACTTTTTTTAGCAAAAAGAGTATTTCAAATTAGTTTTTAAGTAGTTTTTTGGATTTTTAAGAGATAAAAAAATAAATTTAAAAAAAAGTTAATGTATTTAGGAATAAATTTTTTAAATGTATGGGTTCAAATATATTTTTTTTTTTGTTACTTAAATTTTCCATTATACCCTTCCAAATGTGTAAATCCTATGCCCTCACTCAATAAAAAATTTCAAACTTGTAGAAAGATTTTTGAACTTTTTTTTTGGTTAATTACAACAAAACCCCAAAGTTTCACACGTTTTTTACTTTAATCCGCAGTGTTTCAATTTCGACAAATTAATCATTAGAATTTTCTTCGTATTTCAATTTGCCCATTTCATCCATCTCCGTCTGTGTAAAGTAACGAAGGGGGTTTAAAGTGAAAAACGTTGGGGTTTAGAAAGAAAAATGCGTGAAACCATGAAATTTTGTGTAATGGTTAATTACAAAATAAACCACAAGGTTTCATATATTTTTCACTTTAAACCCCAGTATTTTTTACTGGGGTTTAAAGTGAAAAACACTGGCTATTTTAATTTAGATTAAAAAGTAGATATATATATATATATATATATTTAGGATGATAGTTGTCTTTTTTTTGTAATTGATTTAATAATTGTGAGAAAAAAAGTAAAATAATTATGGTTTAAATATAATATTTTATTTTATTAACTATTTTAATCTCTCTTTTTTTTTTTATCTTTATTGACTATTTTAACCCAACTTTGACATCCCAAACACCCCCAAAAAATAACATGATCATATTATTTTATATGAATTTAAATTTTTTGGCTTTTCAGTCTAAAATTCCAATTCTAAATTATTATTATTTTGGTCCAAAAGTCCAGACGCAAAAATATCAAGGCCATAAGGACAACCTTATGACCAAAATACCTTCTGCTATATACATAGACGCATAGATATGTTGAAACAACAAAACCCTAATTCTTCATCCTCTCTCTCTCTTTCTCACATCTGTTTCTCTCCTCCATCACCCTCATCTATGTTTGCCATTGTGACAACCCTCACCACTGTTTACTGATAAACCACTGATTACTGTTAAACTGAGACTGATTATGATAATTGATTGAATTGACTGAAATCCTAAACAGATTGATTGTCTGTATCTGTTTAAGTGCATTTATATCTGTTCGACTGTTAAACTATCTGTTCACGTGTTACGTTTAAACTGCAAATTGAAGGTCTTATCGGCGGCCGAACCAGAAATTGATTAGTGATATGTGTTAATCATAATTTATGTGATTTTATGGCATATTTATTTGAAATTTGAATTGGTATGATTAAATCAGATTAAATAATGCTAAATTGCAATAGTTGAATTTATTTACCAAACTACCACTTAGTGGCCACTTTATACAAAACACATTTGAGCCTTATTACATTCAAACAAAACATTTCATCAGCCATCTTGGGGCTATAACCGACTAGAGAAAGAGGGAGAGGAGAAAACCTTGTTTCATCTTGAATTTGCTCGGAGGCTTAGGGGATTTGGAAGATAATTGCAAAATTGAGCTTCTAGACTTGGAGTTGGAGACTTAAGGTAGGGTAATTACCTTCTCGATTGTGTATGTAAGATAGTTCTTGCATGGTTCATGTTACATTCATGTTATATTGAAGAGTTGAGTCTTGAATTGGACCTAGCTGTAGACGTCCCCGAACGCCCCGGGAGGACGAGGTCACGTTCTGTTCGTATTGGGCTCACTACAGTTCAGGACTCTCAAATTGCCACGGTTCTTAATCTAAACCAAAGAGTCCAAATCCAGCAAATCGTTTTGAGAAAAACAGATTTTTAGAAAAGAAATGCCAAACATGGATTGCTTTGCCAGATACAGAGTCGCCACCTAAATATTTTTTATGGGGGAATTTAGGAAACCCTGACTCGGTGCCAAAAGCCACGTGTCCGTCATCACCAAAGTTGCCTCAGCTCGGAAACTTGGGTACGATTGGGGAAGGTCAGCTATGAGCACCCCCTCTCGCCCGATCCGAAGATCGGCCTCTACTAACCGTTCCGTTTTTAAAAACGTTATGTGTTCTTATTCCGGTTATTAGCCTAGATTTACTATGTTATGCGCACAGCAAACAAGTATAGACCGGGTCGCCTGAATTGGAACAAAACATTTCATGCTTGTTTTGAAAATGGTTTGCTACTCGCAAGTAGGCTAAAATGCAGGTTTTGTCACCCTCGAGTGGGCTTTTAGAAAAGATGGTTTTGCCACTATTTAGTGGGTTTAAAACTCACAGTTTTAATGCATTATTCCAATTTAGGTAATTCAACCTCCACCCACAGGCATTCAAGCAGTTATATCACATAAGCAAGTAGCCTTATGGTAAGCATGTTGTTATGGCAACACTCACACGCATGCAAGGATGCTAAAACATAAATGCTCACCGAGTACTCCAAGCCAAAACCGAAACTAGTTAGTAATCATATGCATGATCCTAGTTCATGTTAAGATGGCTAATGCAACACATGCAAGATACAGCTACAATAGGCTCGGCTAATCTATGGATGGCATATGATGATGCTACAACTAACACGTATTCAACTTGGAATTGAAATACAATGCAGTTAGTATGGTGCGCTGAGCCCGGTGCATGCAAGACAAATGTATGGATGCACGCATGCATAGCATAAGGTATGCTAATTTAAATATGCCCTAATACTAACCATTGAAAGCAGGTAAGTAAAAGGGAGACAGAAGTGGGGGTTGGAAGACATGCACACACGCACCCACACTTATTACAAATTCGCCCTCGCTCGGAGGTAAGTAAAAGGGAGAAAGAAGTGGGGGTTGGAAGACATGCACACACGCACCCACACTTATTACAAATTTGCCCTCGCTCGGAGGGACCAAAAGAATAATATAATTAACTAACCTACAAGCTAATTAATTATTACAGACAAATTAAACTAGTTAAGCAAATTAACTAATCTAAGAAAGCAGTAAACAGCATCGGGAAGAGGGTCCAATGCAATGCGTGTTCGGGTTTGCTCGGAAATCCAACGCCATGCACAAGTTTGCCTCTGTTTTCCCTGCTCTGCTCCTCTGAAAATTGCACAAGTCCCAGGGAGCACTCTATGGACATTGGGGAGCATCACTGACCAAGTGGGATCATCACCGGCCATTTTGAAGTCGTCATCGACCATCCATTGAGCTCTCAGCCAAATATATTTGGTCGGTCGGCAATATATATGGTCGGCCGGCCAAAACTTCCTGCAAAAACCTTTGTAGCCAAAAGGAGACAGCAGCCTCTTGGTCCAAAAAACAGTCCCTTAGCCTCTAAAAATGGCCTCCAAGCTCCTTAGGTTGATGATGGAGGTGTTAGGCCAAGAGTTGTAGTGTAAATGTGCAAGAACTAGACCCCTGTGAACCCTCTAACCCACACAAATGTAGAGAGAAAGGGAGATATAGAGAGGGAGTGATATATATATCCTATATATCAGATTTTT